GGGGGGGGGGTTGGTTTGTTTGGAGGGGCAGGGCACAGCCGTGCAGTGCATTAGAGCAGCAGCTCTCAACCATTTTTGTACCAAGACCCATTGGTAAACATTTGCTGGTCAGTCTTGACCCAGTGCCACCTGCCCCCAGACCCCCCATGCGTGGTGGGGGCAGAGGTCCTGAGTGGCTCCTCACAGGCTGGAGCTCTCCCAGCCGGCAGGGGAAATCCCACCATTTCCCAAGTTTTTGTCCACTTGTAGTTTGTTCGCAATTATTTCTTAGGTTCTTGAGACCCACTCTTGGGTCGCACCCCACGGGTTGAGAAACGCTGCGTTACAGAACCATCCTGGAGCCCCTCCAGCAGGCACCGGGTCAGGGAGGGTACAGCCGTGCAGTGCACTGCAGGAACAAGCTGATGCCCCTTCAACAGGTACGGGGGGGGGGCATGCTGGGGTCACTTCAACATGCCCAGGTGGGGCTGGGCAGGGCGGGCAGAGCCGTGCAGTGCATTAGGGGAACATGCTACACTGGCACGGGGGGAGGGGGGACCGCATGCAGTGCACTGGGGGGCTGCGCTGGGGTCACTTCACCAGGCACCCGTGGGGTTGGGTGGGGAGCACGCTGCACTGGCTCTGGGGGGTCCATGCTGGGGTCACTGCACCTGGCACAGACGTGCAGCGCACACTGCAGGAACAAACTACACTGGAAGGGGGGGTATTGGGGGGCCCAGCTGTGCAGTGCACCCGGGTCATTGCACCAGGCGCCGGGGGGCGGGGCACAGCCGTGCAGTGTACTGAGGAAACACGCTGCACTAGCTCGCTGGGATAGCAGGAGGCCCCACGCCCCGGCCCGGCCCCGCGCTCACCCGCCGCCGCTGCAGTCTCCGGCTTGGATCTCCCTCCTTGGTCCGGCGCCGAGATCCCACGAGAACTCGCCTCCAGCTCCCGCGAGATCTCGGGCGCCCTCTACCGTAATGCTGGGATGAGGGTCGTTCGAGCGCTCTCAGCCTACCGTAATACTGAGAGTATACGCGACTTAATTCCCAAAGCGACCACTCTAAGGGGAAGGGCGGGGGAGGCGGTCTCCCTGCAGCATCATACAAGGGAGATCAAGCGCTTTTATTACAGGGAGGAAGAAAAACGGCTAGATTCAAGCGCTGTGATGCAGGAGATGAGGTCAAGCCTCCAGCTTGGCAGCAGAGGTCCCATGCGCCCAAAGGCAAGTCATTTGGCTGCTCAGTGCTTGGCCTCAGATCACCTGCATTTGGTCCATGAGCGACTCCAACAAGCTTTGCTGTGACTTCAAGAAAGCAGCCCTGTGACATGGAAACTTTCAGGCCACATGCACGCAATTGGGCAACATAAATTTGGTAACAAAAAAAAAAAAAAAAAAAAAAAAA